GTTTTGCTGCTCTCCAGATGTGAAGGCAGGGAAGCATTGGTGGCTGGCTGCTTCCCACGCAGCCAGCTGGGCTGTCTCCTCTCAGCCGGAAGGGATGCTCTGCCCAGGTAATTTGAGCAAGTCGTGGCAAGTGTGCCTGGGCTGTGCCTAGAACTGATTTCTCACCCCTGCAGAAATGTTGAACATATTCAGTAAAATCTCTCTGTGAATTGTCTACTGGTAATGCAGCAGACATAGATTTAATGATGAATAGGTTTTGTCCCTGCAGGGCAGCCTTATGAGATGTAGGAAGGTACTGTCTTTTCTGCAGGTACATGTTTGGATGAGACTGCTGTTTTCCTCAGAGAGTAGTTGGGCTTCTGAGTTCACCATAGAACCATAGAATGGTTTGGGTTGGAAGGGACCTTAAAGCTCATTCAGTTCCACCCCCCTGCCATGGGCAGGGACACCTTCCACTAGACCAGGTTGCTCAAAGCCCCGTCCAGACTGGCCTTGAACACTGCTAGGGATGGGGCAGCCACAGCTTCTCTGGGTAACCTGTGACAGTGTCCCACCACCCTCACAGGGAAGAACTTCTTAATATCTAATCTAAATCTCCCCTCTGTCAGGTTAAAGCCATTCCCCTTGACCTGTCCCTTCAGATTTCTTGTAGCCCCTTTAAGCACTGGAAGCTGCTCTGAGGTCTCCCTGGAGCCTTCTCTTTGGCAGGCTGTGGGGTGAGAGGAAGGAGGTCTGGAGTGGGTAGCACGGACACTAACTAGAAGCTTGAGCAGTCACTAGTTGACACAGATCACCTACTTATGGTAAGGAAATGAAAAGGATGGCAGCAGAGACGTGACTTCTTTTTCCTGAGAGTTACTATGGGCCTTGCTTTTCACAGAAGTACTGCTTTATTGCTCCTGGGGTGAAGCCCGGAGTGGGCAGTGTGTGGCTTATGGAGCTGGCTGAAGCCAGAGAGGTGCTCGGAGGTGGCAAATAGTCTGAAATGATACTGGCTTCATTATCTCTTGACTGCTTACTGGATAGAAGTGTTGGTGAGTTGCCCAGGAGCCTCCTGAGCTCCTGCTGAAGGTGTGTGTGTGACATTGCATCCTTGGCTTCTCAATGTGAGATGGTGATGCACTCGGCAGCTGACAAGGTGAGGGCGTGAAATAGATCCAAGAATGTGACAAACCAAAATCCCCATAGACTTTGGGATGATTTCAGGATTTCTGTCTGTTGGACAGACAAGGGGCACTTTTGAACAACTTATCCTTTGTGTGGGAGCAGAGGCTGCCCTGTGAAAACTCCTTCATCTCGAGAAAACAGGACCTTGTTTGAGGCTAAATCCGTTTCCCCTCCATTGAGCCGTGTCCAGGACAGCAGCAAATCCCCCCTGGGGTGGACAGCAAGCCCTGGGCACTGAAGCTTGTGGGAGGGAGGAGCAGAGGGTGACCTGGTGCTGCAGCGAGGCAGCACAGAGCAAACCTGTGGATGGAAAAAGTGCTTGTGAATGCAGTGAAGCCACGGTGGTTGATCATTAAGTGACTCCAGTGGGGCTTGAACGTGTATTCTGGAGGGGGAAGGCTGCCTGTCCTGCCATCTGTGACCAAACTGAGCATCCCTTTTGCAATGCCATTCAAGATCCAAAGTCTAGCGGTACAAAGGACTGATTTTTCTTTCCAGCTCAGGGCTTGTGGGGCGCTGTTGAAGGGCATCATCCTGGCCTGAGGTCAGGGCTTAGCACTCCTGGCAGCACTTATTCTTTGTACGGTACAGGGCAGACATAAGAAGGACAAAACCCCCACTTCGCTACTGCTGACCAAACCCCTACCTGGCTGCTGGCTCCTGGCACAGCCGATTTCACATTGTCCCCAAACCTTCTGCAATGGCAACACTGACTTTTATGGTAAGAGTAGGAAATTACCATTTGACTGTGCTCATAGAACAGCATGGCTGTACCACTCTAAGCTGCAATGGCCTCTCTCCTCTTGAAGGAAACCTTACCACCTCTGCTATCATCTGAATTTAAATGGGTGGGAGTGAACATGAAGGCCAGCTCTGTTTCTGGTTTCTGAGACAAGCAGGATAAATGAAATGCTGCTGCATCTCCAGGTGAGGTGTTGGGCAAAGGGTAGAGCTGGCCCTCCTTGCTGAAACTCGGTCAGGCTCTGCACACATTTCCTTGCCTGGAAAACACTGAGGTTTCACTGAAAAATAAACATAGCCTGAGGCTGTTTTAAAGGGTGAAAAACAAGCTCATGTGTCTGGCTTCAGGTCATGGGATGAGTTTTCTATGTGGGTTTTATAGCTTTCGGCGTGTGACATGAGCTTTGTGTTGTTTTAATTGTGTGCTGTTGGGGTCTGAGCTGGCTTGGGGAGCTCAGCGCAGCTGGGCTGATTCCACAGCTGCACATGCAGGTGTATGGTAGAACAGGGGCCCTTCCAAAACAGTCTGATTAATAAGCACTATGCCTTTTCCAGCACGTTGTGTCCAAGCCATTCAGTGCCTTCCACTGAGATAGATGGTGAACTCTGCAGCAGCTTATTTTTAATAACACACACATACACACACCCCCCCCCCCCAGCACTATATATTAATCACATATGAGATGATGATTTTTGGTGCTAACACTTCTTTTTTGCAATATCACTAAATTGGTGTTGGCAGCATTAGTGCCGTGTGCTGCGTGTCTTTGCTGCATGCATCTCTGATGATGTGGTAGTGCTCTGCTAAGGCTGCTTGCAGGGAGAGATGACATTGCCTTAGCTGTGGGTGGAGGGTGCTGGGACCCTGGGGGTCTGGGTGATGGGGAGGAGGGTGCTGGGACCTTGGGGCTATTTGTTTTTCAAATAGTGTTTGCTGTAGTTGATGCATTTTCCAATGACTGTTCTGCTGCCAGGTTGCTTTGAGACAAGCACAGGGCTGCCCCCAGGTCAGCCTCTCCTGAGTGTGCTTGGGGCTGCCTTCAACTGGTGCAGGAATCCGAGGCTTACCCTGGAAAGTGGACGGGCTTCTTCTCGAACCAGAGAGAGGTGCCAGCAGCACCTCTCAGCACCGGTGACCTCAGTGGTGCTCACTTGGCTGTTTGCACAAACGTCAGAGATAGCAAGGCACGTCTCATTGATTCCTCTCATGATCGATGTGCTATCTTCTGCTTTATTTGGCACTGCCACAAGAGCGCTGCCATTCCTGCCCCTTAGCTGTTTTCTTTCTCTTTTGACCTGTCTTCTTTTTAGAGTTGAGTCTCCTTGCAGTCACCCCTCCCACCTACCTAGTGTCTTTCTTCCATAGCTGCAAACTCAGCGCCTTTCATTCCCCTGAATGTTAAAGAGATTATAGGATGTGTAAGAGCACCTCCTTGTGTTCGTGACAAACCTGGCATCTGCTACAGCTGAATTCGCCAACTGTTTTATATTTCCCTTTCGGTGGTTGCCACCTTGTCCGCGGTTTGAAAGCAGTGGGCTCCGAGGCAGGCAGTCAGCATGCCATCCGCACCCCAGCCCTCCCTCCAGCGTTGGGAGCTTGCTGTCTCCTCCCCTGGACCTTTACTGCTGTAGAGGGGAACTACGACAGAGATAGGATCTGTTTCTTGTTTCCATCACTAGGTTGTCAGGCCCAGGGGAGACATCCTCACCGAGGAGGTAGGGCAAAGCCGTTCTCAGAGTTTAGGCTAATTGTGGTGCTGAGCACTTGAACTCCTGGTCTGAGTCCCTCCGAGCAGTGTTGCCTGTTACTCAGCTCACAATTGAGCTCTGCTTAGTCCTGAATGTATGCACCTCTGCTCCTGGAGAAATACTTCTTCCAATGTGAGAAGAGACATGGAGCTCATTAAGAGCTCTTTGCTCGCCAGGGCTCAAGGTGAGTGCTCAGGAAGACTGGTGTGCCTGCAGGGTGGAGAGGGACAGAGCTTTTTAATAGCAGCAATGAGGAGCACTCTGGTTCTTGTCACTCCACAACAGCTGATTAAGTTACCCAGGCTTCTTCCCCTGCAAAAATAGCCCCAGTTATTGCAATTACAGGGTTTCATTACATTGTCCAGGGTGCAAAGGCCAGAGTTGCCACCAAGTGTTCTGGCACCACAGCAGCTGCAGAGGTACCTGTTGCAGGTGTAATTATAAGGACTGGGATCTGTCATTGCCTCCTTCTATGCATTAGTGGGCTCCAGCCAGCAGCTGGCAGCCCTTCCAGCAATCAGAAATGTCCTGTGAATTCAGCCTTGCTTTCGATTATAGGTTTTTTTTTTTCTTTTTCCCAGGCAAGTGAAAAGCAGTGCTTCACAAGCACGCAAGTTTTGTTGCTAGGTGAATAAATGAGTTTCTGCTTGGTTGTAATTCAGCCTTGTTTGCAAGTGACCCTTGGTGATCTCCCTTCCAGCATTTCCAAATCCCGGTCTCGGCTCTCACGTTGCAGCCCTGTCTCTGCAGAAGTTCGGTTTTCCTTCACTAGATGTCACTGTCTATACAGGGAATTTCTGAAGCCGGCAGAAAGGATGATTAAATTAAGCGGGGGGGGGGGGGGAAGGCAAGCTATTTGGAGAGGGCGTGTAAGTGACTAAAAACCGTATTTTCAATTATGCTGAAATTAATGTTTTCCTCTTCTTCATCCCCCTACAGTTTGTAAGAGGCTTTCAGTACTGCTTAGGAAAATGAATTCCCTGAGAACCCTTTCCTAGGCAGGCATGGGAAGCTGGTGGCCATCTGGCCCTAGTCTGTCCTTGCCATTGCAAAGTGGAGGTGGTAGGACTGAGCATGCTTTAATCTTCTTTCTCTGGGGGCAGAGACCAAACCCAGTAAACGAGAAAGAGCCCACATTGCATCCACACTGCAAGGAAGGAAAAATATTCATCTAGTTTCTGGAGTTTCCCTTTAGAAAAACAATCTTTCTGGGTTGTGGAGTGTTTTAATTTAGCCTTTAATTAAGCTGACAGGGTGACTAGGCTACAGAGAAATAAGAGTACATGTTACGGGCAGTTTTTGCTGGCCATGTTAGCCTCCGTTAGCTGCAAAGAATAAATATTTTTTGTATGGCGTAACATCATCCCCTCCTTTTCCTCCAGGTTTTTATTAAATTCTAAGGATGCTTCAGCCAGCTAGTTATGGCACTAATAAGTGGTGCTTTAGGAAGGGCTGATAAGAAGGCAAATCTGGCTTTTGCTACTTTTTATTTATTTTCTGGTGTGGAGTTAGCATCACAGATGTCCTCAAAAGTACAGAATTTGCTTCCTTAAAGATTTTAACTTGGAAGAGAACGTTGAAAGCTGGGCTTTGCTACACTGGGAATATTGCTGCTTTTCAGTTTGGCAGGCAATGGAGCATATAAACACTGCTATGACAGACCTGCCTTTATTTTACTGCATGGCCTTTTTTCTCTCACCCCTAAGAGATGACATGCAGGCACCCTTGTGCATCACACTGATATCCTCGTGCACAGGTAAGGTAAAACCTCAAGTGTCCTTGATACCCTGCCCGGTGGGTGAGGGTGCTGTGGTGATGACCTCCTGGGATGCAGGCTGACCTGCCACAGGGTGAGATGCTCATCTTGTCTAAACCATGTTGCTAAGGGCTCAGGGTGAGAGGTGAGAGGGCTACTTGGACCCTCAGGTCTCACGTGGGGTCACATCTCTTCTTGCCTGGCCCTGAGCTGTTTCTACCATCCCCCTGCTGTGCTGTGCGTCAGCCCAGAGCAAAGAGTGTTTGCAGCGTGTTGCTCACTATTCTCTTGTGACCTGAGTAATACACATAGGAAGGGGGTGAGCTGGTCTCATTGAGCTCCCTTTGATCTCCTGGCACTTGAATGCTGTGAAATTTTATAGAATCACAGAATGGTTTGGGTTGGAAGGGACCTTAAAGCTCACCCAGTTCCAACCCCCTGCCATGGGCAGGGACACCTTCCACTAGACCAGGTTGCTCCAAGCCCCATCCAACCTGGGCTTGCACACTGCCAGAGATGGGGCAGCCACAGCTTCTTTGGGCAGCCTGTGCCAGTGCCTCGCCACCCTCACAAGGAAGAACTTCTTCCTTATATCTAAACTAAATTTCCCCTCTGCCAGTTTAAAACTATTCCCCCTCATCCTAGTCCTACCTGCCCCTGTAAAAAGGTCCTCTCCAGATTTCTTGTAGGTCCCTTTAGGCACTCAGAGCTGCTCTAAGGTCTCTCCAGAGTCTTCTCTTCTCCAGGCTGAGCAACCCCAACTCTCTCAGCCTGTCTCCATAGCAGAGGTGCTCCAAATTTGGAAGTAATCACTACCACTACCCAGATGCAAATCTAACAAGTGGTCCTGCCCATCCAGTAAAGCCTTGGATGGGACTTGTGTGCTTGAATTCCATCCCCTTGCATGTCTGAAATAATTGATTTCTTCAGCAGCTCTGCTCCCCTCTTGGTGGAGCAGGAGACAGGCACTGAATCCCTCAGTATGACACTTGCAGATCTGGTGATAAAGTGCAGTGGCTCTCGTAGTTTTATTGTTTATCAGGATGCAGGCAAAATCCTTGATCTAATGTAAACTCTGTGGCTTTTTGAGGTGCATGTAAGGACAGAAACTACTCATATTGTGGTTTTACTGCAATTTGTCTCTGTTCTCATAGTAGCTACTTAGCAAAATTTTCCTATTCCACTTTCATTAGTGTACAAGAGCTGCAGGAGCACTTTCTGCAATAGTGCAATGAGCCATGCAACCTCTGAACTCATCTTCTCCTTCCTATTTAATCTTGGTAAGAGCACAGCAGAGCCCCAGGCTGTGGGCTGGAAGGATGTTCCCCACGTGAAGGGGGAGCTGAAGGGTGCCTGGCAGCACCAGGTTTTATGCCTTGTCTTTTCATAGTGGGGATCTCTTGCAGAGGAAAAAGAGACTGAGGGTATATGAAATAGGGTGATGGCTTGAAATCATCTCACTGTGGTCTGTAGGGTTCTGTTAAACCAAAAGAGAAATGGAAAGAGCAGCTCTGTGTTGGATGACCTCATAGCAGCCTTCCAGTATCTGAAGGGGACCTACAAGGATGCTGAAAAGGGACTCTTCATTAGGGACTGCAGCTATAGGACAAGGTGTAATGGGTTCAAACTTAAACAGGGAAGCTCAGGTTAGATAAAGGAAGAAGCTCTTTACTGTGAGGGCAGTAAGGCATTGGCACAGGTTGCCCAGAGAAGCTGTGGCTGCCCATCCGTGGCAGTGTTCAAGGCCAGGGAGTCTTGGGAGTCCGTGGGAGTCTTGGGATGACATGGTTTAGTGTGAGGTGTCCCTGCCCGTGGGAGGGGTTAGAACTAGATGATCTTAAGGTCCTTTCCAACCCAAATCATTCTCTGATCCTTTGAATATCAGTTACTGCTTTTACAAAATGTGCTTAGAAAGGCCTGGAAAATAATGTGTAGGGAGAAAGCCAGGAGACACGACTGAAAAATGGCAATTGCTTTTTGTAAAAGAGTCAAAGGAAATGGAACAGTATTAATTTTGTTTGGAATTTATAATCAAAGGGAAAGTTACCGTTTTGATTGGAGATGGAAAATTGCCTGATTATCTTCACTTTTTCTGTGCCTGCATAGGGAAGTGTTTCTCTGCTGGTGAGGTGAAGGAAAATATAAAAAAGAGATAATGGAAAGAGGAATAAAAAATGCTGCTTTTGTTTCCACTTTATGTTCTGCTACTGGCATTAGCAAACAATACTGTTGCTATTCAGAGCTGTTCTCCTGTATGTGTGAGGTCTCCCTGCATGTGACAGCAATGCACAGACTTTGGCAACTGCAAATCCGGATTATTTCTTTGCTTTTCTGTGACTTCTTCAGCTCTGCCTGGCTTCAGTCTGTTGGCTGTTTATTTCAGCCTCCTTATCTGTGAAATGGGACAATTCCTGTTTGTTTTCTAGAGGGTGTGGGAAGGTTGAGGATTTTTCTCTTTTTGACGTGTCCAAAACCAAAAGGGTCTCGAAGGTTTTCTCTTACTCAGTTTGGAGAAGGAGGGATGAAAGGCACGAGCATCAGGGGTAATGTGAAATGCTGAATCTTGGTGAGGATCTTTTCTGAGCTGGCTTCTGTAGACCTGTCTGGCAATTCAGTCACTGAAAAGGAAAATGAGGCAGAAACCCTGAGCCCACAGCTTGACCGTTTGTGGTGAATATATTTTATTTATTTCTTGCAGCTTTCTAATGGCAGTATAACCCCGCCTCTGCTGCCAGCATCTTGAGGCCTTCTGGAAGGAGCTGGGAGATGTCATGCAACCGGCTGTGAGTTAGAGGAGAGTGGAGCGGTGCAGAGGGACAAACAGCATCAGCCGGCGAGTGCTGGTGTGCCCTTGCTGTGTGCTCATGCAGGGCTGCCTGCTTTCTGTGCTGAGCAGGGCTGAGAGACCCTGCCAGCCCTGTGCTCCTGCTCCAGCACTCCTCCTGTAGATTTTCATCCGTTTCTTAAAGCCCACCCACAGGCTCAGCTGGGCTTTGGAAGCCAAAATGTGAGCAAACATCAAGCTTCCCGATCCCTTCAAGGCAGAATCAATCCCGTGAAGTGGAAGCTTTTATTTTTTTCAGAGGAGTTGCCCATACCCATCAAACTCCTTGGCACCAGGTCACCTGGAAGGTGAAGGGGTGCAATCACCGTACTTGCATGCAACACCTCCAGTCTTGCCTTGCGAATCACGGAGGTGACGTTTCCCCCAGCCTACATGTGTGTGTAAGGACAGCCCAGCAAGGGTGTCCCTTTCCCCGATGTGTGAAAGACTGATAAAAGCCATTATTGTTGTTTTTGTTTTTGTTTTTTTTCCCCTTCCAGGGGCTGTCACAATCTGTGTGAGGGTGGAAGAGCATTGCTCAAACAAGCCTCAGTTCTTGCAAACCACTGGAAGCTGGCTGAGTAGCACAGAGGAGGAAAGAAAGTATTAAGAAGGTATTTCTTTTTGTAGCAGTACGTGAGCAGAGAACTGCTGAAGACATGGGAGTGCAGGAGCAGCCTTGCTCTGACTCAAGCACAGGCACTGAGAGCAGAGCTGATGGTGGTACTTTTGCTCTCGGCTTAAAATGCTGCCTCCTGGATGCAGAATGCTTGAAACCCCCAGGCTAAATAAGAAAAATGGTCAATAAATAATGCATATATGGCGGAGCATTCCTTTAACCAGTTCTCACCTCACACTCCACTAGGCTGAGCTGGTCCCACCTCATCTCATGAGATGGGCTTTTCCTCTGCCTGAGTCTTCTCCTAAGTTACAAGTGATAGGACAAGAGGTAATGGCCTCAAGCTGTGCTGGGGAGGTTTAGATTGCATATTGGGAACAATTTCTTCACAGATAGGGTGATCAGGCATTGGAACAGCTGCCCAGGGAAGTGGTGGAGTTACTGTTCCTGGAAGTGTCCAAAGAAACGTGTAGATGAGGCCCCCAGGGATATGATTTAGTGATGGACTTGGCAGTGCTGGGGTAATGGTTGGACTTGATGATCTTAAAGGTCTTTCCCAGCCTAGCTGGTTCTATGATTCTTGTGCTTGCCAAGCCTTAGCCGGGTACCTGAGCTTCCACATCTCCCCTGAGCGGTAGCTGTTGGGAGCAGGAGGTGTCTGGGCTGTTCTGGGCATGGGATGCTCCAGTGGCCCCTGGAGATGGTGGCTTAGCAGACAGAGGTGGGGAGGAGATAAAGACAGGCCATGTTTTTCCCAGGCTGTTTACTTTCCAGCATGCAGCCTTTTTAAGCTGCTCTTATGTTTCCAAATGCTGCAGCATGCTTGATTAGAGCCTGGTTAGCATGAACTGCTAGATGTTGGAAACTAAAAGGGTTTGCTTTTGTTTCAGTGATGTCTGGAGAATTTGGGAAGCTGTTCAGGGCTTGCTCCCTTTCAAGAGCAAGGACGAGCCTTCCGTGGTTGCATCCCCCTCCCTTGACTCCCCTCTCACAGAAAGTCACTGAGTTTTTAGCATGTCCTTCATGGAAATAGCTCCTTAATATCAGTTGAGCTTTTTTCAGATCTCTCTGTCTCTTGGTGTTTCTCTGTTCCCTTATCTTGTTTATGAAACTGTATTATGTGAGACAAAACTCATTTGTTGGTGAGGAAGGGACATTGTACTCAGTGGGATATTTACTGTGTACCTGAGGTATAATCTATCCTCTGCAGTGATACGGACTCCAAAATGAATGGGTATTTATTTATAATAATATAGCAGACAGTCCATAGGGAGGTGTCAGCTTGTTTGTAATCAATCTGTGCAATGCTCTCGTTGCAGCACAATAACACTTTGCATTAAGTGATGAATTGGTTTAGTCTTCTTATTCTGACTGTCATTTTTCCTCACTGAAGACGCATTGCCTCCATTATGTGACCCTTGTAGCTGAGTACCATGTATCCATGGGTGCTTAAAAGTGAGTGGTGAGATCATGTGTATTCCCGTGTAGAAAGGGAAGAGAGCAGCCCCCCAACACCCGTGCTGTTGATTATAGGGAATAATGGGTTCCAAATAGGTGGCTGGGTGCAGCGTGAGCCACGCTTGCAGTGAGGTAAGCAATGATTTATTCTGCTGAAGTGGGTCATTATTGAACCAACATTGTATTTCTGGATTGATTTCAACTCAAACCCTGATGACAGAGTGGATGTTATACTGCTGGAGAAATAGACCGTCCATGATAGCAAACAAGCTCGGTATGTTTTTAAAAGAGACATTCTTGGTACGTTGGTGAAAACAGCAATAAAACCTCTATTAAAAGAACTGAATTTGGGTGCTACAGAGATGCAATCAATATGCCTGTGTCAGAAATGTACGGCTGTTACCATCAAAGAGGAAAACCTACCCATTGCTCAGTAGCTCATGAGTGAGTTGCCAGGAAAATAACAACCTGCTTTATGAAAGATATTGTAGAAAATGCAGTCATATAGTCATAGTTGCAGGCTGTCTTGGCTGGGGTCTGGATGCTTCACAAGGTGATGCTGCCTGGAGAAGGAGGGCTGAACTGTGGGTGCCAGCAGGGCTGTGGCATGGGGAAAGTGGGGCCGGTTTTTTTTTGGTCCTGTGTCCATCCCTCCCATGCTTCTCCAAAGCCCAAGACACCCTGTGGGCTGTTGCTGTCAGGTCATTTGCCTGGATCACTTGTCCAACAGGTCTGTACCTCCAAGATGTCCTTTAATGCAGTAGGTTGGGCTGCCCATGTGCACCTAGGGTTGTCCTGCACATGAATAGGCTTGAGGGCTGAGAGGCTCTTAAAAGCAACAGGAGGAGAAAACAGGTCCATGTTTTTAATCTTCCTGTTCCCTTGTGATACATAAAGAAAAGCTTGCAAATGTCCTTCTGTCTTTGTAAAATCAGAAATACCAGGGCTATGAAGTCTGTTCTTCACCATATTTCCCTGGAGGCAGCAGAAATGTCTCTGCTCTTAAAGGAGCAGCTGGGGTGTGCAGAGACAGCTGTTCTTGTCTCTGGGAGTTAGGGAAGGGGTGAAGAAAATACACAAAACACTTGATACATGCTACATGTTCTTAGAAACAACCACTCTGTTTTCAGTAGGAGTAGCTGAAATAGCAGTCCTTCCCCTCTGCCACTTTTCCATAAAGCCTTCTAAGAAAAACAGGGTAGGTAAAAATACACTGAAGCACTGGGGAGAAATTAGCAGGTTTGAAAGAGGCTCAGGAACAATCTTGGCACCCTTTTATGCAGCACAAAGAAACACAACTGGAAAATTGCTTTTCCTTCCTATGCTGCCTTTGAAGAGTGTTAAATTCAGAAGAGCCACTTAAGTCTCACAGGCTGCAGTGCTTTACTGCTGCCCTCCCTCCTGCCACCACTTGTGTGATGTGTAGTCCCCACCATGGGCACCCTAACCAACTGCAGTGGAGCCCCTGTACTGGTGGAGGAGGCAGCCACAGGAACAGCCTGCTTTTCCCATTGTCCCTTTCCCAGCTCTGGAAATGGGTTGCTGAGCTAACATGACAAAAGGCCTCAGAATCAGTTATTCTTCTGAAGAGGGAGCTCCCACAGGGACCTGAGCTCACAGCCAGCAGGGGCTGGGATCAGTGGGCTGACAGTGCCGGTCGGCTGTGGAACTGACAGACCTTAGGCTCAGTTCCCGCTTTGCTGGGTTGGGAAGAAATACAGGCAGGTGGGTATCTGCTGTGTGTGGGTACTGTCTGCTGCAGATTTCCTCTTCGTCCTCAGGTTGCTCCTAGTAGAACTTATCACTTCAGTATGGGAGGAGACTTGTGGCCCCTCCAAGCTCAGCAGCTCCCATACTGGGCAGTGCAGATGCCATGGTGCTGAGCTTGGGGAGGACTTGACACCCTGAGTGCTTACCTGCTCCTTGGGCAAGCCACAGCAATGTGCTCAGCCTGCTCATTGTCTGCTGCCTTTGCCTGTGGCTGAATTGCCTGGTGGGTCCCTGAGGATGAAGAGGGATGGTGGTGGCTGGAGTGGCAGATACCCAGGCAGCTGGGTCAGCTTGAAGCACCATCCAATGACAAAGGCACATTTTCCTCCTGCTCTTGACAAGTCCTGGAAAGAAGACAGAGTCCTTTGCAAGGTATTTGGGCTTTAGACAAGTGGAAAAACACCATGAAACCAATCTGTAGGGAAATTGCAGGTGCTCTGGAGCCAAGTGCTCAACGTAATGTCAAACTACCTGTCATGAGTGTCACCCTCCACTTCTACTGATGCCATTAAAGTCACTTTCCAAACTGTCAGTTCGGAGCATCCTCTAGGTATGGACTGTAACTCATTTAATCACTTCCAGAGAGCATTCAGCTTTAACTGTAGTGCCCTGTTTTGCACAGCCACCTTGTTAAATCTTCGCTCCCAACCACAATATATGAGGCTCCATTACATGTAGCCTTGACATAAAGATCTCGCTTTAGCATGCCAAATTCTTCTCTCTCAATTACCATTTTTGAAATAGATAGACATACAGTTGAAAGCTATCTTGAGTCTTCCCTCTGCTTTTTGGAAAGGGAAAACTAAAGCTCAGTGTGGATTTGAAAGGTTAATTATCTGCTTCAGAGCATCTCCCTTAGTGTCTGGGAGGCAGTGTGGCTCCTGGCTGATGTGCTGCTGGCTGAAATTGCTTGGGGCTGATTTCAGCTTGGTTATTGACCTGGGAGGTGGTACAGGACAAGTCACTCCTTGCCTCAAATTTCCCATTTATGCATTGGAATAAATGCTGTTGCTTCCATTGTCTGGTACTGTGACAGTGCCATCATGAGAGAGACTGTATGAGACAAGCATTATTTATTAATTTTCATTATCAGTCCATTTGGTTTTGAACTGAACTGTTGCCTTCATAACGGTTTTTAATTTAGGTCTGTGGTTATGTGTGAGCTTTTCTCTGGAGCTGTCTTTACTGAGTTAGATGTCTGATGTAAACTTCCATTACAGTCAGTGTGGGAAGCATCCCCTACAAAGACAGGTGATAAATTACAAACCATTTGTGGTGGATCCTGCCCTAACCTTTCTTTGTGTAATAAGAGATCCAAGTTGTGTTGCACAGCTCTGTTCTCTTTTGAATCCTGTGCACTTATATCTGATGATGGCATTTCCAAATGAAGCCTCTTTCTGTGTGTTACCGTGATGCCTTGGGCTCATCCTTACAATGTCTTATACTTGGGTTTGTAATCTATCTTTCTTCTTGCTGTTGGCATTTTTCTCCCACTTCTCCTGGAGTCCTAACTGAGTCCGGACTGGGGGGCTCGACAGCTTCTCACGTAGGTGAGAGAACTTGAGTCACTTGGCTCCCTTCTGTCTCTTTGCTGCTGCCTTTTGATCCTGAAGCAGGTTTCAGTTCTGATCCCTGTTTTTCCTTTGTGTCTAGGTCTCTTGGTTTATTAAAACTTCTTAACATGATCACAAGCTTGTTTTTTTAGTCTTTACTGGCCTCTTTGCTCAATACAGCTGCTTGCAAGCTTTACTTCATTCTAATGTGTTTTTCAGCTGTCACTCAGCTGCCCTGCGTCCTCTACTAGCTATTTTACAGACTCAGCAAAATCACCCTAATTCACAACTTTTAATCAGTCATTCCTGTCTAAATCCAATCTGTGGCTACAGAAACAGTAGTGGGTCACTATTCTTGCTGCTTCTATTTTGAGAAAGGAAAAAGACGTGGAAGAGAAGGACAAAGGAACTGCCACCTGTGTGCAGAACTAGAAGCTAAGGCCCTATCTTTTTCCTGCATGACATAAATTCCTGTTTAAGTAAATGGGATTTATATCCTGCAGTGAAGAAAAAGACCTCAGGAGCTTTTGCTTGT